CCGCGCCGCCGCCCGCGCTGCGCCGGCTGCTGCGCCGCTTGCGCCCCCCGCGCTTGCCGCTCGGCGGCTGCTGCCGGTCCGGCTCTTCCTCGCTGTTGCTCAGGCTGTCGTCGGCCGGCGAGACTGGCGAGCTGGACACGTCCTGCATCATCTCTCAGGTGGCAGCGTGCGGCCTCGCAGGCCCGGGGCAGAGGGGCGGCCCGGGAAAAGGAGGAGAGCGGGGCGCCTCAGCCCGCCAGCTTCCCCCGCGCGCGGCGCCGGCCGGGGCGGTGCGGCCCGCCGAGGAGGGAGCGGGAGGAGGGACGGGGTGGATCTCCGCGGGGAGGGCGCGCGGGGGAGGCGGGGAGGGAGGCGGGAGGGGGAGGGGACGGTGTGGATGGCCCCGAGGTCCAAAAAGAAGGCGCCCAACGGCCGCACGCACACCCTGCTCGGCCTCCTGGAAACGCTGCCGGTGCCGGCGAGCCCGCGAGGTGTCTGGGAGTTGGACGAAAGCTGCAGACTTGGAGGCTCTTATACCTCCGTGCAGGCGGAAAGTTTGGGGGCAGCAGTGTCATTGGCCTGACGTGGGGAGGAGGGACTTTTCGAAGTTTTATAGGAAAGTTTCCGCTTTCCAGCCCCCCCCCCCTCCTTTCCCCGTCCCCACCCCCCACTTGCTCAGGGTCTAACAATTCGTTCTCCCAAACCATTCAAAAACGACCTGGCTCCGGCGGCCGGCCCCTCTGCCCGCCTCCTTGCTGCCCTCCCTCTTCCCTCCCCGCCGCCCTCCGCAGGCGGGCGCGGGGCTATTTCCTTCCGCGCCTTTGCGCGCGGGCCGCGCCCCCGCACCCGAGCGCAGCCCCGGAAAGCGGCCGGAGGGGACCTCTCGGCCGCGGTGTCAGTCCCTCCCGGAGTGGCTGTGACAGCAGCGGCAGCAACAGCTTCTACGCAGTGCGTGATGTCTCAACTCTCCCCAGTACCCTCTAGGTCCGTGGGGCCGCCTTTGGGATTGCTGGGGTGGGGGCAATGGCAAAACTGGCAGCCGCGGAGCTCCCCCAATAGTCAGGTAGACGGGCCCCTAGAGCCCCAAAGGCCAAACCGCTGCGGCGGGCCCTGAAGTCGTGGGCGTTTCTGAAGACGTGGCTGCGACACGGGGAGTGTGGATCTGCGCCCCGGCCTGCTCTCACCCCTCCCTGAGAAGCATCTGGGCCTTCCTTTTCCCTCTACAGTGACCCAGTCTAACGCTTCCTACCACTCAAAAGGCTACACCTCCGACGGTGCTGGAAAGAGACAGAAATTCATTCTTTCTCGGAAGTCAGTTTTGTTCTTGGAGAAGGCAGCGGGGCCAGAGAGGGACAGCGCAGCGTTTTCGCTGCGGCCCTGATCTCCTGAGCTGCCAGTCCAAGGTGGAGGACCTTGTGGGCATTTCATCCCTACCCTACTTCCCAATAAGGCCCCGCATTGTGACCTCTAAAGGTAGGCTCGTAAGAAAGTGAGATGAGGTCCCAAAGCCCCTGAACACAACGCGGCTGGCCCAAGCCAGTTGTGAGAGTCACCTTCTCCACTCCTCGTTCCTAGGAGGTGGAGTGGGCAGTTATGCTTCGTGCTACCCAGACGTGGTCCAGTTACTTGGACGCTTTTTATATTTTAAGCAATTCTGTCTAATACATTAACAACAAAGAGCCCCAAAGAGGGTGTTAATGCAGCTTCTGTCAGATCAGAGGCAACAAAAGTTGGTGGGCTGGAAGGAAAGCCTCGTGGAAGAGAAACCCATCTTTGCAGTTCCAGACTTGTTTCTCTTTATTGGAACGAGTTGGGATAGAATAAGCTTTTCGTGTTCATCCGTTAGTTGCAAAGCAAAGCATTAGTCGATATTCAGGGGTAGATTTGGGGGTGCTGAGCTTGTGCGCCCTGCACAGGCCAAGGTCCTCTCACGCTATCCCCAGACTGGACTGTCAGGGGAGAATTAACTTAGCGAAGGACCCCATTCTGGGCCTGATGGAGGGTCGTCGTCCCGGGTGTCAGGAGGAGAAGGAAGAGGAGGAGGGAGCCCAGGCAACACGAGGGCAGGCCATGTGGCTCTGCCCCGCTGAGGCTCGCAGATTCAGTCCGGAAACCCTGGGGTCTGGAGCGCCTGGAGCTGGCTGAAGGGCTCAGACTTCTGGGGGAAGTGAGGGCAAGAGGCATCCCTCCTGTGGGGGTGAACAAGGCAGTGCTTTCATGGGAGGTGTGACTTGCAGGGTCTATCACCATTTTTACAAATATTCGGAAACAATGCCCACAGCATGCTGACTGGCCTGCTTGAAGAGCTCCTGCGGCATTTTAAAATGAGAGCCCGTCTGGAAAGTGGATTCTACTTGACCTCCACTGAATAGTGTGCAGGCAGGTATCCTTAAAACAAAACTCATTATGATAAGTCACCCTTTTGTTTTCATCTTCTGCCTGTAGGATTTTATCTCTTGGAAGCAGAGAATAAGGCAGAAATTCTGCCCCACTCTACTCAGTGTTCTCTCTTATAAATCTGAATTGCAGATTATTCCGCAATTCTTATTTGAAGGTGGCTGCAGAAATCTTGAGAATTTTCCACCTTTACCTTTCTTTTTTAAAGATCAATCTCAAATCTTAATTGTGTTTTTCTTTTCCCTTTGGTTGAAGTCTTAAAACTAAAGAGATTGAATAATTGGACTTTTTCCTTTGTGGCTATGGACGAGCAAGACAGGAAAGTGTGGGCAAAGTGTAAAGGGAAACCTTACCTGACCAAGGGGAATTGGGGTGGGGAATTGGGGTTGTGGGATGGAAATGAGGGCAGAGAAGCTGGAGGAGAAACGGAGTCCTCTGCAGCTAGCAGCCAGGGATCCTTAGCCAGCCAGACTTGCAGAGTCATCAATCTCCAAGACTAGTTCTTAAACAAATTAACCCAGCCCTGTTCTGAGCAACTAAACTTCTAGGGAAATGAAGAGCTCCTGGCTGCTGGGCACCAGGGATCCCCGGGGGCTGAGGCTGCGCTCTGGATGCCAGAATGCTTACAAGAGGGCTGAAAATGAATGACCTAACTAGAACCATCTCGGCATGGAATCTTCCTGACAGAGTCATAATCAATGACTTTAGTTCTGAGAAGAAATTTCTCTTGAGCTCTTTGAAGAAATGGACGAAGAGAATGAGTGGGGTTTTCAGTGCCTACATGTTACTTTTTGAGCAGAAGCCTGTGGCTTGCCAAATGAATTACCTCTCAAAATGTCTGGGGCTCAATACTCCCTGCTTTGCAAGGCTGTAATATTTCCTGGTCCCACCCTGTTCATCTGCAGCTATATCCTACATAACATTTTATCTAACAATTTTCTTGTCCACACTTGCTGGGGGGAAAGCATCCCTAGTTCTAAAATCCTAATTTCAGGCTCTTAAAAAACGGTTTTAGAAATTTCCCCTTGGGGCTGAACTCAGCCTGACTTGAAGAACGTTAGTGGAGAACTGCCTTCTTTGGGAATACTGGATTAATTGAAATTAAATCATTTTGTCTACTTCTAAAACAAATTCCCTGAAAAAAAAAAAGAACTGAAAACAAAAAAGTTTTTCTTTTGCACTTGGATAATTCAAAACGAGCTTTGTTTTCAAAACTGCAAACTTGGCATGTTAGCAGTCCTTCCTGAGGAATGTGTGCTGTGTTAAAAAGTGAAAAAAAAAAATACTGTTAGAAGAAACAGAGTTAGGAATCTCCTACTGAGCAGATGCAGTAAGTATGTATGTATCTGTATTTTTACGGTCTGAATGTGTACCCACTGGCATTCTCTTAGCAACATTCATCTATAAATACTTTTAGAGAAGGAAAAGAAACATGCATCTACTATAGAATTGTTAGCAAGGTGGTAAATTTGGGAGCTGGGATTGCACAAAAGGTGAGTGCTTGAGTCTCTCTCTTCTACTCTTTCTCCTTATTCTTTGGATGACCTACCACCTGTAGGCTGGCTTAGAGTTCTATGAAATAATTTCTCTGAATTGCATGAACGTGGCACAGGAGTGTTCACACAGAAGGGGGCGCAAATTGGAGAAGGCTGCAGTTGAATGGACATCTTAGATTTCATCTTGTTTTGAACACTCCATGGGGGATTGCCTAGTTTGATGGTTAAGTAAGAGAATTTTTTTCAAAACGGAGTATGAAGTCTGTGTCAGCACAAGTGACTTGGTTTGGTGAGACAGGCAGCCTTCGTGTTTGAACACCTTACCCTAAAGAAGAGGTCATCCTCTTTCTCTTTTCATGGTAGTTTAATTCATGAATCTAACTGATTCTATATTTCTCTTTCCCAACTTCTTTAAGGATCAGGAACTAAAATTATCAAATGTGAAGCTTTCAGTCTGGAAGTAAAATGAAAAAGGATAAAGCATAAGAAATTGAGTTGCCAGGAGCACCTTAAACAAGCAAATCAAATTTCAAATAAATTAATCTTTACAATATCTGACATTGTGCATTCAAAATGAAGGTAAGATAAAGAAACAGCATATGCTGAACTTGTACATAAAGAGGAATCAGAGTGTGGAAAAGTATGGTGTCGTGAAGAGCCTCCTCCCCACCCAGCTTTTATTAACTTGTTGGGTGTGCAGGCTAGAGAGACTGTCCTGTCTTTGCTGCCAGTTAACCTTGGTGACATACACATTCACCTATTTCAGAGAGCTGCTGGAGTAACTGAAGAAATAATGTAAGAAATATGTACTTATTCATAGCGGCTTTTATCATGACCATAGTCTTCCTACTTAGTAAGCGTTTTTATCTTTTCTGTCTAATCATCAAGCAATTTAAATATAAATCGAATGGTTTATATTCTGTGTTTTTCCAGATAAAGTTCCTACTCTGATTACTCGTAACTTTCATCTCTATACACTTCAAGGGATTTCCTTTTTTCACAAATGGCTTTTCCTGAAGCCTTAAATCCTATTTCCATTGTTTTGATTGATTCTTCCTGCACAAAACATGTTGTTTTTGCCAGTGACCACAAGAGGACACAATTTCCTAGAGAACTTTGTTTAAAAAGACACTTGTAGAAGGCTTACAAAATAGCAAAAAATATCACACAGTGAATGTCATTTTGGGGATGCCTATTTCATTTATGTCACTTTTCTTAATTAAGTAACTTTGATGTAAACTAAAAAAAATTAAAACTTAAAAAATAAAAATCATTTAAAAAATAAATGAAAAAACCATATATACACATAAGTTGGCATTCAAACCTGGGATGTCTTGGAAGATTTTATCTTTTCTCTTTATTGTAGAAAATAAAAGAAAAACATGTATGAAAATGTACTAAAAAATACCATTTTAAAGGAAAACATTTATTTTGCATTAGTAGAGGTTTGTACAAAACTCTGAGTGATCTGGAATTTTACTTGCTCAATTTTAGAGCCATGTTTGGCAATGAAAAACAATCTTTTTTAAAAAGTATGTTACTATTCCAGAATACCTTTGAAAGTTTGAATTTTTAGTTTCAGCATTTGGGTTGTCTTTATGTGAATAAATGCATGGAAATTATGTTTTATGATTTGCCAGTTCTATTTTAACGCATGTC